TGAATGAAATTTTCCTCAAATTTAGATTCACTATAATTCTAAACAAAAAAATTAATAGGTGTTTTGAAAATCTTAACCAAAAGAATTTAAAGTTCATCTACAAAACTAGACATTAAAGAGTTTTGAATATTGCAATTAAATAGTGAATAGCATTATAAACATACATTTATATAGTGTATGGCCCTATAACAAATAAAAGAGGCAACACTGCTATAAGAGAAAGGTCCAGATACAGAGGTTACTAACTTTTATCTAATTTTCTATTATACATTCCTTTGAGAAGCTAACTTTGTCCCAATAAAAATGGGGGCTGGAGAGAAGCCTCAGTCAGTAAAGCTCTAACTTTCCAACTATGAAGACCTGAGTTCTATCCCCAGTACCCACATAAAAATGCTGAGCATGCCGGGCATGGCGGCGCATGCCTTTAGTCCCAGCCCTGGGGAGGTTGAGGCAGGCAGATCTCTGAGTTCAAGGCCAGTCTGGTCTACAAAGCGAGTTCCAGGCCAGCTGAGGCCTGTCTCAAAAAGAGGAAGGCAAAAAAAAAAAAAAAAAAAAAAAAAGGCTCAGTGCGACAGAGCATGGGTTGAAAATCTCATTGAACTCCTAGCATCATGGGAACCAGACCACGTCTTCGCCAGACCACATCTTGTCCTCTTTTTCCAGAGAAGGCTCTAGAAGCAAGGCCCCTGCCTCCTCATCCCAACCACAGCCTTCTGCTCGGTTGAACCCTTGCCTTTTCCTGCTTGATCCCTAGGGGGCAAAGGCCACTGAGAGCTGGCCCCAAGGACCTTTGAGTTTCATATCACCCGGGGGTCCCACCTGAAGCCAGCTCACTACCTGTTCTGGGTTTCCCAGAAAACAGAGTGGCACTGGTTAGAGCTGTCTCCTGCCTGTTTCAGACCTGATCAGCTTTAAACACTGCCAGCCCAGGGCCTTTCCTCCTGGCATACAGTGGCTGGGCAGAGCCAACACCTGTTATCTGAGACGCACCATGCCGATGCCTTTAGCACGTGACCTCATTGGACCCTCACAGCGTTCCTGCTATGGGGTTCGAAGCCCTTAATTTTCAGAGCACAATATACAATGCAGAGAGGCCAAGTGGGATCAAGCCCAAGGCCACACAGCTATCAACAGCAGAGCGGGGGTTCCAGTCTGTCTCTCAGACTGTGGAGTCTGTTTGCCCTGGGAAAGGGTGGGCCCTGGGGTAAGAACAAGGTCATTCCTCAGGCTCTGCAAGCTCAAGGCTAGAGTGAAATCTGAAAGGGTCTCCTCATGTCCAGCCCCTGGGATCTTGAGGGGCTTCATGGGGTCCCATGGTGTACCCATATTTACACGTCTATGTGCAGCCTGCCTGGTGAGCAGGCAGGGCAGAGCAAGTGTGGGTATGTCTTGTCATGTAACTGTACCTGTCCATGTTTGTAGCTGTGGCTGTCTACAGGAACAGGCTGGAGGGGAGGGTGTGCTTCCATGACTATTCCTGGGGGTGGAGGTGCATCTACACCAGAGTGCACCCCTGTGCAAATGTATATACAGGTATGTTTGGGGTATGATTTGGAGTATGTTACCATGAGTGCATGTGTATATGTGTGTGTGTGTGCATGTGTGTGTATGTGTGAGTCTACCTGGGAGCAACTGGCTGGGAGTGGGGAACGGGTTCCCCTCAGCAGCCTCCACTGGGTCTGTATCCCTCTCACCTTCTAGAGAAGTCTGTCATGGAGGCTGGGCTGGGGAGGAAACCCCAGAGTGAGATGCATACTCCTGATCTCAGGGAGGGAAATGGATCCACAGGTGAGGCAGGGACCAGGAGGGGTGCAGAGCCTTCCCGCCTCTGGACTTGTGTGGTGGAAAGATGCTGGGAGCTGTCGGCTACCATCATGGAGGCAGGTGCTGACTCAGGAGGGAGAGTCCCTACCAGCCAAGCCTCCTGGAGGGGACCCTGATCACGTGACAGATGGGGCCTGGCAGGTTGGGGCATGATACTGCCATATGCTGCTGAGACTGGGCCACCAGCCTTCATCATGAAGACCTATGTCAGGAGGTCACCATGGTGGTCACAGACAGACTCTGGGGTCTCAGACCTGCAAAGAACTCCCCCCAAAAGAAACTGGCAGAGAAGGGTGATGGCTGGGTGTTGGAGTGCTGGAGTGGGGCTGGCTGAGGGAAGAGTCGGGGGAGGGGAGCAAAAAGGAGACAAAGGTCAGAGGTAAGGCAGTGGGGAGGGAGACACCCACTCTGCAGACTTCCAGAAATGTCCAGGGTGCGACAGGCGGCGGTTTCGCTTTGGCAGTTTCTCTAGCATGTCCATGAGCTTGGAGAAGGTGGGCCGTTCCTCCTGCTCGAAAGCCCAGCAGAAGAGCAGTATGTCCTAGAAGAAGCCAGAGAGCTGTGGTTAGTAAGTGGTAGCAACACTGAGTTTCAGTGAGGCCTCAGTACCTTTGCATTGCATTGGGCCTAGCCACATGTCTACCTATTTGGCTCACTTCTTCAGATCTCTCCATCATCTATCTTTCCATCCATCATCTGCCCACCATCCACCCCATCCACTCACCCAACTATATATCCATTTACTCACCAAGCACCATCCTTCTACCCACTCAAACACTTAACCATCATCCGTCAGCTGCTGACCATCCACCCATGCACCCATATTAACTCATTCATTCTTCATCTAGAATCCATCTATTTATCCGCTCACCTATCCACACCACCATCCATTCACTAAACATGCACCCATCTACCTATCCATCCATATCAACTCATGCATCCTTCATTCATCACCCATCCTTCCATCCATCCATCCACCCACACATTATCCACCCACCACCTCATTCATCTATCTACCCATCACCCACCTATCCATCCATACAACATTCCATCCATCCACTCATCCATCTATCTACTGTCCCCTAAGCCTGCATCTATGTAACCATTCATCTATATCAATTCACTTGTTCATCCTCCTCTCTTGTCCATCCATCCCCCACTCACCTTACCCTTCTCTCCCCTTCCTTTCTTTTCTTCTTCTCACTCACTCTGAGCCCATATAGCAAACTAGGGAGGCTCCACACTAGAAGGCCTGAGATGTATTGAGACCAATAGCGGTCTCTATTTTTCTAGGAGGTGAGGGATAGAAGGAATCCTGAACTCTTTAGCTACATCTCTATAGCTTAGTAGGGGCCCTTCAACTTTTAGGGGAAAGTTTACTTTTCACAGTCTCCTCACACTGGAAAAGAAACCTGGAGGCAGGTGATCCTGACAAATGCACAGGGTGGGTACTGCTTCCCTGACTTGTCTGTTAATCAAGAGAGGATTCTTCTTATGTTTAAGAGGAGATTCATTTACAATCAGGCTTTTTGGTTCCTGTTTAGCATGCTCTGAGTTGATTGCTTTAAAATTTTTGAGTAGGTTCAAATAAAGTTGACCCCAATATACTCTATAATATTTTAATGAATATCTTTTAATAAAGAATAGGACAGATATTCATTGGTTTTATCTGAAGCATCATCCACTGCCGGGGAGTTGACCCAGATGTTGCTACACCCCTGGTGGCAGGCACCTGGAATTGCAGGCATGGTGCAGAGAATTTTCCCCTCAAGCTCTAAGCCTGCTTTTCTAGGCCACTCTCTGGGAAAGCATCTGTAGCCTTTGCACAAAGGACAGAGGAAGCCCAGGACTATGTCTGCATGTCCCCTCATCCCCAGACCCCTCACTCTCATAAGACTTACCGAGATTTCTTTTCCCATTCCAATCTGGCTGAGGTTAGGTTTCATGCCTGCTCCCATTTGCCAAATTATTGCTTCTGCTGGTTGGGTCTTGAAAGGCCACTCCCTGGCGTGGAGTTCATACCAGATGGTGCTGTTGAACATTGGACATGGTTAATAAGGTTCTGTTGTGGCATGTCACTTGTGACATACGTGGGCGCACATGCACACACACACACACACACACACACACACAGCACCCTGGATGGCCGTGCCCCTCTGTAGTCTCTTTTCAAGGGGTTTGCATTTCACTTAAAACTTTCTTGCTGACTTGGATGCCTTGCTTGTCCAGGGTACCTTCTTTAATGACAGAATGAGTATGAATCAAAGTGCACAACCTGAATAATTTAGCACTACGTGCTGGCCATCTCTGACCTTAAATTTGCAATTCTAGGAAGCCATAATAGTTTAAGAATTTGTGGGGCCAGGGTGATGGTTCAGCAGCCAAGAGCATTGGGCCTGGGTTTGATTCCCAGCACCCACATGGCAGCTAACAACCATCCATAATTCCAGTTCCACTGGTATCCAACGCCCTCTTCTGACCACTGCAGGCATTGCATGACACAAATGCACTTATGTGTGTGTAAGCAATACACTCATACACATAAAATAAAAATAATAAAATATTTTTTAAAAAGAATTCATTCATGAGGATGTTCTCCATGACTTTATATGTAATATTGAAAAAGAAAAGGAAAAACAATTTCTCAGCGGCAACCTGCAGTTCTAACATCATGGTCAATCCCTAAAATGAAACAGGTACCATATTAGTATGAGAATATTTGCAAGAAGTTTTCCTGGCATGAAAATACTCAGTAGATCATTTTAGGTATAAAAAAATAGGATGGGGGAGTGCATTTGGGGTCTGATGTTACTCTTTATTTTTTAAATTTTATTATTTTTATTTTATGTGTATGAGTGTATTGCCTGCATGTATGTGAGAGCACGAGTGTCGTGCAATGCCACAGAGGTCAGAAGAGGGCTTCAGATTCCCCTGGAACTGGAGCTAAGGACGGTTTATAGCCACCATGTGGGTGCTGGGAATTGAACCTGGGTCCTCTGCAAGAGCAGTCAGTGCTCTTAACTGCTGAGCCATCTCTCCAGCCCTGATGTTACTCTTTTTTTTTTTTGTCTTTTTGAAGCAGGGTCTCCCTGTAGCCCCAGCTGTCCTGGAACTCACTATGTAGACCAGGCTGGCCTTGAACTCACAGAGATCTGCCTGCCTCTGCTTCCCAAGTGCTGGGACTACAGGCGTGCGCCACCACGCCCAGCTTGATGTTACTCTTTAAAATCACTACACATGCATGGATGAAGGAAGATCCTGAAACACAGCAACATGTCAGGGATAGTGGGAGAGGAAGTTTTTTTTTTCATTTTTGCTTGTACTCTATAGGGATGAACCACGCTGTGGAAGACTGTGGAGGAGACTGACTTAATTCTATGCAAGGGGGATGATATGGAGTAGGCCACACCCCATCTCTCAGTGCCATGGTTAATAGCATCATGAAAGGGTGTCTGGGATGAGCATTGGACACAGGGCTGGGATTGTTCCACAAGGACTTGCCATGTCATCTGTTTCATAAATTGTGACAATGTAACAAAGGGAAAGAGGACACTGGTGTTGAGGCCACATTTGGCCATGGATGAGGTGATGCTTGGCTGGTGTGTAAACACCACTGTGAGATACTGCCAGCACTGAAGGCAGTGGCCGATGAATCTGAGGAGGCCACATATCACTGAGCTATACTGTGTGTAATGATCTCCATTTGCTGAGGACCAGATTCCTCAACTCAGGGAACATCTGCAACAGTCCTAAGAAGTGATTTTATTTTTCTCCTCCCTGGGCTTTTCTTTAGGGAACACAAAGCACTCTGGTCTGCTCCTGACCAGTCAGAGGACTGTATTAAACCAAGTCTTCCCAGGGCCACATGTCTCAGTTGGTATTGTATTTTTATCTGACCCCACATACCTCTGGGCTGGAGTGGAGATGATGCTCAGTAGGGACACGTGGGTTTAGATTGTCAGAAAGTTCCCTGGAGAAAGTACCAGACTAGACAATCATAGTGATCCTCACAGATTCTACTCTGCTAGGTGGACTAAGTCTGCCTGTATAAAAAGCCCCTTTTGCATTTTATTTCCTTTGGTGCTGGGGATGGAACCTGGTGCCTCATGCGTTAGGGTTACACTTCCATCACTGGCTTCTGTACAGAAGCATGAAGATTGGTTCTCCACAGTCTTTGGAGGAACACTGGGTTTGGTTTGGTTCTGAGGTGCTGGGGATAAAACCCAGGGCGTGGTACATCCTAAGCAAGGACAATATGTTGAGAGGCGTGCCCAGTCCTTAGTGTTTATGATTCTGATGACTTGGTGTCTTCAGGACCCTGCTGGGCCAGAACCTGCTCAATCTGGCTGACTGTACAGATAGGAAGAGACTTGCCAAGGAGTGCAAACCAAATGCAAACCAAGTGACCCAGAGCATCCCCTTCACTAGTCTTTGAAGGAAAGACACAAGTTCTTATCCCTCCACTCAGGGCGATTCCAGCTCACTGATTTTCTTTCTTCTTTCTTTCCTCTCTCCATCTCTTCCTTATTCTCTCTCTCTCTTTCTTTGTATGTATGTTCATGTGGGTACATGTAAATGTGTGCTGGAGCTTATACAACTGTGTGCACCTGATGTGGAGGCCAGTGGTCAACCTCAGGTGTTGTGCCTCAAGTGCTATTCACCTTTTTTTTTTGAGACAGGGTCTCCCTGTAGCCCCAGTTGGTCTGGAACTGGTTATGTAGACCAGACTGGCCTCGATCTCACAGGTATCCACCTGCCTCTGCCTTCCAGGTGCTGTGATTAAAGGCACGCACCACTACGCCCGGGATTCTGTGGGTTCTGGGAACCAAACTCAGGTCTTCATGCTTGCACAACAAGCACTTTAGGACTGAACCATCTCCCCAGCTCTTGCATGGGTTCTATTTAAACTTGATCTGCAGTAGAGAGAAGTGAGGCTTTGAGTGTGACTCACTCCCAGGTCTGGGGGCTGCAGGTTCAAATCCCCAGCCACAGAATTAGGATGCTGCACGGGTCTGGATCTCAGCTCCACCACCAGTTGCCGCACACGGAGTCAGAGTTATCTGGCTGTGATTCTCATCTGTTGATTCTGGACAGCAGGGTCCCTCTTAGAAAGGTGTTTGTGGAGTTCATGTGGTGGCAAGCACATAGAAAGTTCAGCACACGTCTAAAAGTTTCTTTCTGGTCTAAGTCATTCTTGAGCGTGAGGTTCCCAGGCAACAGGATGCAGGTAATTGGTAGGAGTCTAGGAGTGTAGGTCCTTCACAATTCAACAGTGTCCCCAATAAAACCCTCATTAAAGCTTCCTTCCTAACCCAACTTTTAAGAGAACATTTCACTTTGAGGTTAAAAAAATGGTTATAGATGAAAACTCTTGTGGGAAACCAGTTACTTACTTTGGTACATTTTGTTAATTACATTTTTTTCTTTCACTAAATTTACACTAAAATATACCAACTTAATTACTACAATTTGGTTCCAGATAATGATATCTAACTACTTCAAGGTTTGGGCATTAACTAGTTAGAGCAAGTGATGGCTTTGCAATGGGCCCAAGCTACAGGCTCTGAGAATTGAGATCTTCCTGAGATGTCCGGTTGGGGGCTGCCAGTGAGGGTGGCGGGTATGCTTCCACAGGAGACTGCCTTTCTAGCTAATTTGTTACGTAGTAATAGGTGACCAATACAAGATTAAATCTTGGTTTTTGTTTGTTTGTTTCTTAGTTTGAGACGGTCTTACTATGTAACCCTGGCTGGCCTGCAACTTGCTATGTAGACCAGGCTGGCCTGGAACTTATAGAGCTCTGCCTGCTTTTACATCTCAAGTGCCAGGATTAAAGGCATGCACCATCCCACCCAGCCTAAGACTAAATTTTATACTCTCAGTATCTGGAATGGTTCTGCCATATAGGAAGAATGAGTGAATTGGGTAAATTGTCATAGGCACATAAGCAGTCAGAAACCAGGCTTACAAGTGTGTTAGGGTCATTTCTCTACTACACTCTACTTGGATCCTCCCCCCAGGCTCACTCGGAAATCCTGTCATCCTGCCCCCACCAACACATGCCATGGTCCTTCTGAAGGCACCCTGGGCAATGACCTGTACCCAGGCTGTGGCTGTAGAAGGCCAGGGTGTGGCCCACTTACCCAAGTGCAAAGACGTCTGAGTGCTTGGAGAAGGGAAGTTTGTCCTCCTCTGTGTCGGGGGACAGCTGGCGGATGATCTCAGGAGCCAGGTGACACAACCAGCCATTCTGGATACGCAGTTTGTCCTCCCGCCTGGAGAGGCAAAGCCCAGGGTGAGTCTGTTTCACAGCATGGGGAGAATGGGCCTCCCAGCACTGACCCCCAAGGCCCACAGCCACCTCTAATGGCTTCCCGCCTTCTTCAGCGAGTACTGACTGAACTACCATGTGAAGCTGAGACCCAGTGGGTGGAGCAGGAAGAGGGCTACTGGGAGAGTGGCCCAGGTCATCCTTAGATCCACAGCCTGGGTACAGGCCAGGCTGAGAAACAAGGAGTTTCTCATCCATTGTCATGCATGAGAATGGCCCGTTCTTATTCTTGTGAACTGCACTCTGCAGTCTAAGCTTGCTGGGACACCGCTGGCAAATATCCAATCATAACCACTGGGGAAATACACAAAACCTCACAGATTATAACCCCAAATCCCCCAAACAGTCCATCCTAGTAGATTCTTGGTTCCAGATACACAATAGTGAACAAGACCAAGAAGGAACCTCTCCTTGTGCTTGGCGGGAGATGACAAATGAATCAAATAATAAAAAAAAAAAAGCCAGGTAAATGTTACACAAAGAGTTAAAACAGAGGCCTGTGTCCAAGCTGAGGAGAATTTGAGCTAAGATCTACGTGGCAGAGGATTCAGTCCTATGAACAAGAATATCTAAACAGAAGGGAAAGGTAAGTCAAAGATGCAGGGCAGTCCTTAGAGAAGTGTTCTAGAAAGCTAAAGAACACTACATAGGAACCCAACATGCATCCCATGTACTAAAATGTAAAGGACCACTCCGATGCCACTGGGCCTGGGTTGGCTCCTCCTTCCGACACAGACAACAATGCAATGAACAGCTTTGGGTAAACGCTGTGGACATCTCCCTTAACCACCTGTTTCATTGTCCCCTAGGATAAATTTCTAGAAGAGGAGGGAGGCTGGCTTGTTTCTATACCTCACAAGTCTTCAGTTGTCCCCTTCCACTGGAGACTGACCTCTAGACAGACATCCTTAAGGTTTTTCCCGACTAAGGACTCCTAGGGAAGGGCCTGCTAGTCAGGGGATGTGAGCGAAAGAGAAACATACAATGGATCAAGACTGAGGGTGGGAAGACTACGTCTCCCCGACCATTTCTGCAGGGGCCTGGGGCTGGTTGCATGCTATACCTCTTCTAGCTGGGCTTCTGCTCAATGTGAGGTGTGATGTAGTGGTCTCTCCAGGGTACTCATCATACTCTGTCATCATGATTTTCATCAGTCTGAAACCCTTGAGGAACAGTGTCTAGTAGATCTGGGCTGGTGGCCCATATCTAGACAATGATTTACTAAGATTGCATTTTTAAAACAAATGTATTCTAATAAGTCACTTTTTAGCCATAAATAGGAACTAGTATTTTTCCAACACACAGTAAAAAATAGATGGAAAGTGCTTGTTCATACCCTCCGTAAAATCCACTCCCACACCACACTGTCAGGAAACCTGGGCAGAGGAAAATGACCTGAGCAAAGCTCTAGGAGTTTGGGGGTTCAGGGTTCTACAGTAATGAATGCATTTACTAGTTGGGGGAAGTAGGGTAGGAAGATTCTAGACTTGTGGCTCTCTAGGCTGTTTTTCTTCTCCCTCAGTATCTTACGTAGAATACATCACCCATTTGGATGAACTGGGATTTTGATAGATCCCAGTCAGGGGCTGAGGGGATGAGGTTGAGTTGGGAAGCTTCTGAAGTTTCAGCTCATAACTGGGTGTGGACAGGGGCTGCACACGGGTGCCCCTCCAACACACAGCCATTCGTCCACATCTGTATTCTGGTCCCAGGGCAGGGTCTGATGGTCACCAGAAAATGTGTTCTAATTCAGGGGTTCTCTGACTCTGTGTCTCTGTGTGGACATGTCTATCACTCACAGCTGTCCTGTGCCCTGTAGAGAGTGTTTACTCATCCTGGTGTCTTCCCAGTCTACCCAGGGGTACCAGCAGCATCCCTGCACCCTAGCTACAGCACCCCTGCATCCTAGCAACTAGAAATGTCTTTGGACCTCTGGAAGGAAAATAGCCTGTGGTGAGAGTGACTGATGCAATTTTTATAAAATAAGAGAGTGGTCCAGTGTCCAGCATCTCAGCTCCTGTGCTGCACGTAGAGAGCATGGTAGAACATTCCCTCTGCTAGCAAGGAGGACTCAGACCCCCCGACACACACCCCTCTTCCAGACCCTGGGATTGGCATAGCTGAATAACATCTTGCTTCTAGAATCAGGGACACTTGTAGAACTTTAAGGACCCATAAGTCGCTTATTAGCTGTGGGACCTCAAGCTGACTCAGATCTCAAGTTTTCCATCTACCAAACGGGCACATTTTCTTGTACCTTAGACAGCTATGGCAAGGATTAGCATGAGACAGTGCATAGCCCAGGGCTATGTCAGCTACCAGAGCCACATGATTACTGAATGTAATTATTACCTGTATGTGTACGTGTATACACACACACACACACACACACACACACACACACACACTATCCATCAAGAATGTAGTTGAGACTAGAGACCAAAGTGGCCCCTGGGAAGAGGGAGCTTAGGGTGGCCTAGCCAACCTTCCCCTGGAACGGTCAGGCCCACAGAGGCTGGGGGCTGTTGTAGGAAGCTAACACTGTGAGCCACTGGGACAGGAGAGGGTATGGCAGACACACAATTGCCATCAGCCTGGGGCCAGCATGGGCACATGTCTAGGAGAGGGCTAGAAGCCAGGCCTGGTGCAGACACCCTGGGGTGTCCTGTTCCCATGGTGATGGGCCACCTATGAGAAGCTCAAATCATCTTCATTATGGTTATTATTATGATTAATAACAGGCTGCATGCAGCTGGCATGGGAGGGCTGGCATCTTAAGTGACACCTTTTTTTGAGGGTGGCAGAGTAGCTGTAGGCTGGATCTGTTTGGCCACGTCTTTGCTATGAGCCCAGGCAGGTCTCCCTCTGCTGAGTTCCTACTGTATGCCAGAACATCTATCTCTACTGTGTGGGTGAGGACAGAGGCTCAGTCTGGCTAAGCCGCCTGCCCAGGGTCCTGGATGATAAGTGACTGAACAAGCCACATCTTCAAGATCACAGCTCTTCAAAACTCACAAGACTAGATCCCCTCCCTGAAGCTCCAGAGGGCATCCTGGGAAACAGCCTCCATAGGGGACCAGACCCCAACGAACCCATTAATCCTAGGCCGGTTAGCAGTCCAAAACTCTGCTATGAGGTTATGTTGCCAGTACCCCACCCCATTCTATAGGCTCAAGAAAGCAGACATGTACTCAATAAAAACAAAAAATAAAAAAAGGACACTTATCATCTGTCTTGTGGTATCTCCAAAATTCATGTTAAATCCCTGACTCTCAATGTGGCTGTTACTAAAGGCAGGACTTATAACTAGAGATTTAATTTATATGTATGAAATTTGAACGGGATACTGGGGAAGGGGACCAGAAGGAAGGGAGACAGGCAAGACAGGTGATGGGGTGAATACAGAGAATACATGACATAAAGGAGTGGCACTGTCATAATGAAACCCAGCATTTGGTACAATGAGTATGTCAATAATTGATTTTTATTTTGTGTATTTAAATTGTTTAGTTCATTTATTTGTGTGTGTGTGTGTGTATGTGTGTGTGTGTGTGTGTGTGTGTGTATGTGTGTGTATGCATGTATGGAACTCGAAGTCAAAGGACAACTTTTGGGGAGTCAGTTCTCTCCTTCTACCATGTGATTCCCAGGGACTGAATTCTGTCATCAGGCTTGGAAGCAAGTGCCTTTAACTCCTGAGCCATCTCCCCAACCATTTTTTCTAAAGATAGGGCTTTTAGAGAGGTAACTAAGGTGAAAGAAGGCCATAAGTCCAGAGGTCTAAGCAACACATTTGTTGTACTGACAAATAGAGGAAAAGACATCAGGTTTCTGCCTGTTGTTCTTTTCCTGTCTGTCCCTTCTTCCTCCTTCTCCCATTTCCTTCCTTCCTCCATCTATCTGTGAATGACAGAGCCAAGGCCATGTCAGGATACAGGGAAAAGGTGGCCACCTACAGGTTTGGAACAGAACCCTCTGCAGAAACTGAGTTGGCCAGGCTTGACTTTGAATTTCCAGCCCCAGAACAGGGAGAAAATACTTGTGTGTTGCATCAGTACCCCACCCTGATAACCTTGTTCGTTATAGCAACCCCAGTGGGCCAAGGTTCCTGGAAACTCTTAATGGCTATGCCGGCTGAACCCAGCCAGACTTGGAGCTCCTGGCCTCCATACCTATGGTGCTGCCTCCTTTGCCTCAGCTCCTGTCATCCAGTCCCAGGATGCTCAGCTGGGCCCTGGACACCCCATGTTCAAGGAGTATCTCCTCCTGTCTCCTGTTGCTGCCCTGGGGGTTCCAGCATGAACTTGGGGTACTTCTAGCCCGGAGATGACTATTTACAAACAGAAAGCAGGAAACTGGCCTGAACCCCTGCAGGGAGAGTCCCAGAACAGCACTGGACGTGAATAATGTCTATGAAAAAGGTCAAGCCCTGGGATTCATGAACACCCGAGGAGTCCCATCTCTTCTCCATGGTCCCCAGCCTGGCCATGACTGAAGAATGTGAAAGATGACGCACACAGCCCATGTTGCCCCTCGCACGAGGGTCTACCTCTGCTGGCCTTGAGTCACCTACTGACATTAGAATATGGTAGAAGGAATGTTCTAGACAGGGGCATCCAGCCTTTTGTCTCCTCTGGGACACACTGGATGAAGAATTGTCTTTGGCCACATGGTTATTTCTAGGATTTCAGAAGCTATGTAACTGGAAAGTCTGCCATTGCCCACTGGGCGTGCTCACTCTGTTTGGTAGGTGCTCAATCTAGTAGAGCCCAGTTGCTACACAGGAAGTCTGAGTACTGTGAGTCTGCCATGGTGTGAGGAAGCCCAAGGCAGCTGTGTAGGGAGATGGCATAGAGAGGAAGGAGGATGGGAACAGGAGGAGGAGCAGCAGGAGAAAAGACAGACTCCACGAGCCCCCGAATGTTTCAGCCACCTCAGCCTGGATGTGAGCACATGGAAGCCTCTGGTTGACTCTACCTTGACTCTCTCCATCTTACTGCCCTAAACAGCCTTAGCCCCAAAGTTTAGCTGAGTCAAGTCGGTTCACAGGACCACATGGGCAACAATAACTTGTTGGTATTAAACAGGAGGATGGTTTGTTAGGTAACAGCACATAATTTGGGGCAGGATGAAAACACAGGAAACTGCTTGTGGCTACTGGTGAGAACTGAGAAATGCGAGTTTCTACTTGGGCACTGTTCTAAGGCTCTCTTACCTCTCCAGATACATGCTGGGTTTGTATTGACAGCCAAGGTGGGAGGAGATGGGGAAGTGCCTTGTCTGGACAATAAGGCCAGAACCACCTTGACTTGGCTAAACTAACTTCCTAGTCCACCCTGGGTCTCCATGAGGAGCTGAAGAAAAGGATGCTTAGTCTCCCAAATGGTCATGTGTTGAGGGCTTGGTCTCGAGCTGGTAGTGTTATTTGGAGAGGTTCAGGTGGGTAGGACTTAGCTAGAAGAGAAGTCACTGGGTATGGGTCTCCTTGGCGGTATCTCACCCCACCTCTTCCTTTTCTTTCAGCTTCCTGTCTGTCAAGAAGTAAAGATGGGCCTCTTGCACATGCTTCTGCCTGCAGGATGTCTACCCAGGTACCTGGGGCTGAACAATCATTCTGAAACCTGAAACCATAAACCAAAATAAATCCTTTCTCCCTTAAGTTATCTGTATCAGGTAATTTGTTCACAGGCAGGAGAAGGTTAAGACAGCAGGTCACCAGGAGGGAGAGAGCTAAGTTTTTGAGGAAGTCTCCATGCAAGTACTTGTGATGTTGCCAGTTGTGTCTCCATCCTGTACTGACCCCAGGGTGCTGGGGAACAGAAGTTAGTAACTCCCTACAGCCAGCCAGGGACCTAAGTGCTGCTGTTGGGGCAAAGGGATGGAGGAGCCCTGCTCAGTCTTGCTCTCCCGGCACCTTCTGTTGACCTATTTGTTTGTTTCCCTCTGCATATCTTATCTTAGTGCCATGGATAGTTTTGGAAACTGGGCACTGCCTTTTTGGGTGGGGGTGACATCTGAAAAAGAGACCAAGGGTGATCCCACAGAAATAGTTGTATCAAGTTTTGCTAAATTTCAGATGTTCTGACTCCATTTCAAGGTCTCTCACACCAGGGACAGAATTCCTTGGGAGTACAGGAAGGATGACCCTTGAAGAAATGGGTGACCATGCAGAGCAGGAGAAACAAGCAAAAAGGAGAGAAATCACAGCGCTGTCTTCCTGTGGAGAGGACATAAATAAACATATTGTGGTATGTCCATACATAGGAATACTAATCAGCAATAAGAAGCAAAAATCTATGTACCTATGTAACAGGATGAACAAAACTCATAAATATTACATTAAATGAAGGAGGCTAGTCACAATAAAGAACGTGCCGTAAAGCTTCACTAATATGAGCTCTTCAAAATGGTACAACTATAGTAACAGAAGATCAGTGGTTTTCCAGGGATTCTGGGTACATGTGCTGTGTGTGTGTGTGTGTGTGTGTGTGTGTGTGTGTGTGTGTACAGCACACTCCAAATTAAAACCCGCAAGGGCAGACCTGAGTTATAGGTTGTTTATTTGGGATCAAGCTGCTTCTCACATGGTCAACTCAACAGGGCTTGCTCCAGGGTGAGTGGCCTCTGAGAGTTAATTACTTAAGGATGTTAATCATTCCCTGGGTGATCCTGGGGAGGTATATGCAAATGTATGCTAATTACAGCAACTGGCAGTATGGCTATCCAGCCAGCATTTGATGTGCTCAGGACCAGTGCTGGATGCTTGCTCTGTGCCTGCCTGTTTTATCCTCCAAAGGACCCCATGAGGGAGGCATTTTCATACACACAAGGAAACCCAAGTTCAGAGAAGTTGCTCACCTTGACTTCGGACACTGCTATTAAATACCAGAGCTTTGTCTGGCCAAGTGGTCTGACTTGAAATACCTTGCTCTTAGCTGTCTTTGGCTGCTGAGCTAAGATTGATTAATTTCTAAGACACTTCAGAGCTAAGGCTCTTGAGTACTGAAGGAAGGGGGGAAAGTCCTCCAGCTCAGGGCAAGAGCTTTGCAGGATTTAGGGATCTGTGGGATCTTATACTATCTTTAGGATAGGTGAGCAAGGCGCTGAGCCCCAGAGAATAAGAGCCTTGGGGACCCCCATTAGCATGGCGGCCTAGCCACAACCCTCAGTGACATCAAGATCAACCCCAAGTCTAGGTCACTAAGGTCGTTTGGGATGAGTTTCCACCCCATGATGCTCACCTGTCAAGAACCCCTCTGGGCCCTTCTGTCATCTCTCACCTGCCAGCCTGTAGCACCCCGGAAATGCTGAAGAGCCCAAAGTCTGTGATGACCACTTTGCCGTTGTCATAGAAGACATTCTTTGATTTGAGGTCCTTGTGAAGGATCCCCTTGGCGTGGAGGTAGCCCATGCCCTGTAAGAGGTAGGGGAACAGGGGGTCATTAGAGAAAACTCCAGTGCTTCCTCATCACCCTTTCTTAGGTCTGTAAGGGCAGCAGAATGTAGGGTGGTCCACCCATGGATCTTGAAGGGCAAGATGGTATATGAGTGCAAGCAGGCAGGACCCTCGAGTCACCCTCAGAGCCCTGGAAAGTTGTCTCCACAGAGGTGCTCTGCTTCCTGAAGAAATGAAGGGAAGCGTCTCAGAGGGAAAAGAGTAGGATGAATCCATTTCCTCTTTGAAGGAGCCTCACCCCTCTGTTACTCAGCCCACACCCCTGAAGAGTGACCTCAGCTATTCAGGGGACCTTTTATGACTCAATATCAAGAACACAGAGGAAACTCTCCTGGAGGTCTACTTCAAGGGTAGACATTTAGAGATTGCTTTGTTTATTTTGATTTGGTGAACAGTCATATCTTTATTTCTTCTTATAACTCAGTCCTAACACTTCTGATGGGAAATAAAAGCTGGGGTGCAACTCACTAAGATACCTGATGAGAAACTCAGGATGTTCTTGCTTATTTTCATCCAAAACAATTATCACCAACTTGATGTTTCCCCAGCGGTAGAAAGACAAGATGCCTTGTGCTCATGGGAATTCAAGGACCCAGATATAACAGTTCCTAATAGTGATGGTTTGAATTTGAAATGTCCCCACAGATGCAAGTTTTGAAATCTTGGTCCCCAGCTAGTGATGCTGTTTTGGCAGGTTCTGGAAACTTGGGGGTGGTGGGTGGAGCCTAGGTGGAGGAAGTAGGTTGCTGAGGTAGGGGGGTGGGCCCTTGAAGAGTATGGTACTTGGCCATTTTTTGTCTCACTTTCTGCTTCCTGGTCTGCTATGAAGTGAGAAGTTTCTGCCTCATGCCCCTGCTGCCATGACCTGGGCTGCTTTGCATGCCTTCCTCACAGCAATACTGAAACTATGAGCCAAAATAAGTCTCTCCTCCCTTAAGCTGCTCCTGCCAGAGTAACCTAGAAGTAACTTATACACTGAACAAGAAACAGAGTGACTCGTCTGTACCCACTGACCCTCTCTTGCCTATATTCAGGGATCATGGCTATGAGGCCAGACAGAATACAAAGATGAAATGGCATTTGTAAAGGCTGCATCTTAACAGCATCCTTGTACATGCTACCTGGTACTTTTTAGGCTAAGTCTAATTTCTTTGAGATCTAAACCCAGACCCAGAATCTCAGGATCCCTGTGGGGCTTATCAAAAGAAGAGGATGGGTCTTTTCAGATAAGGGCCCCAGAACTCACAGTACCTTCACAATTTCTTGGGCTATCTGCCTGGTTTTGTTGACATCCAGGACAATCTTGGCATCCCTTACCACAGAGTAGAGTGTCCTCCCCTTGCAGAGGCTGCAAAGCAAAAGAGCAAGGTCACTCACTGGACAGATGGAGCGGTTAGTGGAGGTGCCCATAGCAGGTATCCGAAGCCAGGAGGAATGAGGCATATGTATAACTCTCATGCCAATGTGATGGTTGATAGGCCTGGGATTGGCCCCCCGACCTGGTTCTTGGGTGAAGATCTGCAAGGAAGACCTTGTAGATTCTTTTAGATTGCCAGGCTCTTGTTACTGTGCAAGATCCAGTTCTCTCTCTCTCTCTCTCTCTCTCTCTCTCTCTCTCTCTCTGGTCTGTGTATGCATACATGCACGTGACTGCATATTCATGTTTGTGATGTGTGTACACATACATGTGGAGGCCAGAAGACAACTTTGGTTGTCATTTCTCAGATGCTAACCATCTTTTTTTTTTTTTTGAGACAAGATCTCTCACTGGCCTGAGATGCACCAAGTAAGCTAAACTGGCTCGCTGATGAGTTCTAGAGTCCACCTGTCTCTGTCTCCTAGGGTTACAAGCATGCATCGCCATGTGACTTTTTATTTTTTTAACATGGACTCTGGGGATTGAACTCAGGTCTTCATGCTTACAAGGCAAGCACTGTACTGATTGAGTTCTCTCTAGCCCCTCTCCTTTTTTTTTTTGAAACAGGGTCTCCCTGTATCTCCAGTTGGCTTGGAACTCGCTGTGTAGACCAGGCCTGCCTCAATCTCACTGAGCACTGCCTGTCTCTGCCTCCTGAGTACTGGGATTAAAGACATCTACCTCCCCACTCCCTTTTTTGAGACAGGCTCTCTTTATGGATCCTGGGCTGGCCTTGAACTCATGATCCTCCAGCCTCAGCCTCCAAAGTGCTGGGATTATAGGTATGTGCCACCATGCCTGGTTCCCATCCAGGGTCTCATAGGAAAGTTGTGAATAAACCAACAACTTTTGGGTCCTCAGACACCACTCAGACAGCACCATCTGCCATTTGTCCCAGCTGGAGTCCCCCACGGGTGGGGACAGAGATGAAAGAGCTGCAAAGGCAGGGCTGCTGTGTGCTATCATCAGCAAAAGATGCATTCAGTTCTTTCAACAGGGGTGTGTCAGCAGCAATACCGCCACTCCAGCCAGATGCTCGTGTAGACAGCAGGGCTCTCAAACCTTTTTCAGCCTCATTGAGTTCATTTCAAGAACCAGGAATTTAAGATGAATGGCAGGATGAAAGAGCACCTTGCACAGCAGCGGTAACACCTCACTCAGCAGCCTGTCTGTTCATCCATCCCACCCTCCTCAGTGAGCCCAAGTCCTGGTACACAAAGCAGGTGCTGTGAGCGGTCTCGGAATGAAGGAAGGAAGAAAGGAAGGAAGGAAGGAAGGAAGGAACTGTGTATCCACCGGGGCATCCCCAGACCCTAGAAGCCAATGTTGGCTGAGAGAAGCATGGGATCATTACGAAAATTAATTTTTCATCTCCATAAAATAACAGCTTGAATACATTTCTTTTAATTTATTTTATTGCTAAAGCCTTCTGAACACGGCGCTTATTTCATTTAGTATTTATTTTGGAAAATCCTAATGAGTTTATTGGGCTTGCTAACAGAGTCTAGGGTGGGGGTTTATTTGCAGAAGAGTGGGCTTTTGTTTCATGCTAAGCTACTTGGCTGAAGTTGTATTCCTGGGGTAAAAAAAAAATGAGAACTCTGGAATCAGAGGGATCTCAGTTTGAATCCTGGTTTTCCTTCTTGCTTACTGCGTGTCTTTGGTTAATTAACCTCTTTGGGCCTTAGTTTCCTCATTTATTAGAGGAAACCTATCTTATAGGTTAGTATAAGGACTGAAGGAGATAGTGTGCAGCCTGATGCTAGCCTGTTGGTTAGGGGACAAAGGTCAGACTCTACAGAGCTAGGCTCCTGATCTGCCCTGTAGTGGCTGTGTGAAGCCTCTGTGTCATTGTCTATAAAGTGGGGTAGACAGATTCCTGCCTCACCAGGCTGTGAGGAAAATCACATGAACCCAGGTGTGTAAAGGTATGGGCACCTCTCCCTGCCTAATGCATAGTAGGTGCTTATGGCTTTTATGATCAATAAATGGCAAATGCACACACTTGTACAAACAGAGAAATAATATTTTTATTCATACATCACCTGTCTACCCATCTGCCTACCAGTTTATCTCTCTAGTGTGTCCATTCATCCACCCACCCATCCATCCATCATCCATTCATCAATCTTTCCATCATCCATCTGTCATCCATCCATCATCTATAATTCATCCATTTATTATCCATCATCTATTCACCCATTCATCTACCATCTGTCTGTCATCCATTATCTATCCATTATCCATCAACTGTCCATCATCCATCCATTATCCATCCATCCATTCATCATTCATCCATTTGTCCATCATCCATCCATTATCCATCCATCCATTCATCATTCATCCATCTGTCCATCATCCATTCATCATCTATCTATAATTCATCCATTTATCATCCATCATCTACCCACCCATCCATCCATGTGTCCATTATTCATTATTTATCCATCATTCATCAAAGATTCATAATCCATCCATCATCCATAATCTATCCATCCATCTGTCCAATATCCATCTGTCATCCATCAACCAATCAACCATCAACCATTCATCCATTTATCATCATCCATCCATCCATCCATCCATCCATCCATCCATCCATCCACATACCATCCCAAATGCTACCTCAAGCCACCCAAGAACTTTGATGAAGATTCTTTTCTTTACCTGTCCAAGGTGAGATTCTCAGAGCATCTGATGCACAGGCATTCTGATTCACCTGCCCAAGGTTACCTAGCTAGTCGGCAGGAGACAGCCCAAGATGACTCAAGGCTGCCCCGCTCCATGCTGGCACAGCAGCATGTTTGCTGAGCCTCTGTAGCAGAGGTGGAGGAAGGATGGGCTGAGCAGCCAATTACGCTCCGTTGACATTTAAGTATTCGAGATGGAAGACTGTGGGTGGATTCTCTCCCCTGGATACCTTGTTCTTGAACGGCCACCTACACTCATTATGGGGCAGAGCCCTCCTCACTGCACACAGTGGAGTGAATAATTACGACAGGCTCCAAAGCTCCCAGTGTGACCACATGAAGCCCCATCTCTGTTCATATTCCTTCCAGTCACAGCTGGCAAGGTCTCTGCTTGCCCCCTCACTGTGCTGTGCTGTCGGGGCTGCTGGGACAGCCTACACTCACTGCTCAGGTGTATATTGGTGCAACTGTGGTTTGACTCATCTTCAAATGCAAAATACACAGATAACTCACAGCTGGCAGTTCCCCCACTGAACACATATCCAGCAGACAGACATGTTCACACAGACGCGCACTTTGTAATAAAATGTTAACAGCAATGCTTGGGCCCTAGTCCCAAATTGGGAGCAAGCCCAAGAATCTAAATAACTTCACCCCTGATTCTTAGCCCCCAGAGAGATGCTATGGGGGTGAGAGCCAACAGAGGTAATTGGACAATGAGAGAAGACCCTGAAGGATGGAATTAGTGCCCTTGGGAAAGGGACCCCAGAGAGTTCATGCAGGTCGTGCTGGCCTCTTGGTCTCAGACTTCAGTTTCCAGAAGTCTGAGAAAAACTTTCTATTGTTTATAAACTACCTAGTTCATGGTACTTTGTTATAGCAGTGGGAACTAAGACACAACCCATGTTCATCAACAAACTGGACAGAACAAAATACCATCACATCACACTGCATAAAATACATGGACCACAGGGCTGAAGAGATGGCTCAGCGGTTAAGAACACTGGCTGTTCTTGCAGGAGACTGGGGTTTGAATCCCAGCACCCACACACATGCCAGCTAACAACTGTCCGTAACTCCAGTTTCAGGAATTCCAGTGACCTCTTCTGTCTTCTTCAGACATTGCATGACATGGGTGAACTTACCTATACACAGACAATACACACATACACATAAAATAAAAATAATACATAAAATATTTTTAAAAATACATGGACCACTGCTGACAGCACAAAGCAGGCAGGGGTGGAGCTCAGACAGTGGGGAAGCTATTCTCACAAGACTTCTGGAAGAGTCTACTGATGTCAACTGCAAACTCCAAAACACCTGTGTGTAGAAGCCATCAAAGCAACAGCAGTGTCTGTGTCTGTCTGCCTGCCTGTGTGTGTGTGTGTGTGTGTGTGTCTATGTGGTTTTGTGTGTAGCTGTGTGTGCCTATATGTCTGTGTGTGTCTCTGTCTTTGTGTGTCTGAGGGATGTCTCTGGGTATCTGTGTGTCTATGTCTGTGTGTGTATCTGTGTGTGCCTATGTGTTTTGTACGTCTTTTGTGTATCTGTATGTGTCTGTGTGTGTGCATGTATGTGTGTGTACCTGTATGTGTGGTTTTTCTGTGTGTGCCTATGCACCTATGTGTCTCTGTGTGTATCTGTGCATGTCTGTGTATGATTTTGCTTTTTTCTGAACCATTGATCCATGGTGGTAAAATTTAAAAGAAAATTGAAACCCACACAGACACCCAAGGTATCTGGAGAAAATGTGGGGCTCCAGGCTGTGCTCATTCAAGTGTCTACTGGGGGCTAAGGTAGAAATAGGCAAAAAATAAAGGCTCAGCTATAAGGAAGAGTAGGGAGGGGTCCGGGATGGTTAGGAGGCTAGAATAGTCTAGTCAGTTCAAAAGCCCAGGGACACAGTTCCAAGCTTGGAGGGTCTTCAGCTGACAATGGGGTCCTAACAGCCACTTCTGGGATGGAAAGGGAGAAAATATGGGTTTATTGAGCATATGCCCTGGACAGTGTGACTTTTGTGAATCCCCTTGAACCCTACAGGGGTTCATCATCATATTTTACAAGACCAGATATGGAGACCTAGAGTAGGAAGGACCATCTCACATACACCCATGATGTCAACACACATGCACAAACATCAACACACATGCACACACTTCTGCCTTCTCTTCCACTGAGCAGGTACCCACTTACTGGAAATGATTCTCGGCCATTAGGAGGGCAGTACACCTGAGG